TATATTTATATAACTCTTGTCTCTGTACATTCATGGATCACAGATTACACATACACTGTTGCGAAATTTCCACGTTCGACACAAGTCGAGAGATGCTTTCGTCATTTTTTTATAACAGTGTAGAGAAATAAAACACGCGACGCTAGACATTATCTGTTGTACTGTGATACGCTTTTGCGTGTGGACAAAGAAACAAATTAAATACGGTGACATAGTCATCTTGCACCATAATTACTATTTCATTCCTACCCGGTGCTATCTACGTGTGTATGTGTACATATGGATCATTAAACGATATGCATGTAAATATCATGAATATATATTGACGATATTGTACGGAATTACGAATAAAACCTATTATCTATTAACACAGACATTGCTCCTCTTTATAAGATGCGTTAAACGCGAAAACCGAAATCGAGTATCTTGTAACAAGATTAATAAACGCAATGATGTAAACTAGCATATCTTTAATAATAAAATATATTAATGTTAAATGCTTTATAATATCAAAAAGCGAAATCAAGTGGATATCGTGACTTTGCTTTGTTAGAAGAATTTCAATTCATTGTGTTAATCATTGTGGTACTCACATTACACAGGATGGATGTGGATTAATCGGCAGGTAGTATGGATGAACAGGAAAAGGAAGGGTAACTATGCGTGCTTAATGATCATCGTCTTAAGTGTAACAAATCATAATTCCACAGTTTTATTCAGTTTGTCCCAACAACATAACATGGTTCCGCACAGCACAAGTATCATTCCCAGATAAGTATCTAAAAAGTAAAGCAGATCATAAAGCAATTAATAATTTAAAGCATTTTCTAATGATGAAGGTAAGTTCTTGTGTACTCACTTCTATGCACTTTTTCTTCGCCTAGGAACCAGCCTGTGATCGCAGTAAATACGAAGGTAAGAGAATTTGAAACTGGTACAGCCAGGGATAGGTCGCTACTCTGCAGAGTCAAGAAGTACAGTACCGAACCGCATTGATTAAGGAGAAATGGCACAATGTACTGTAAATAAAAATAAAATAAATTACAAATAGTTATTATCTCCAGCAAATACTATTACATCTAGCAAGGATATTTACTCAAAAATTAAAAAAAAAATTTCTTGAATATTTTTGAACTTTTCAATTATTTTTGTTTAAAATTCAAGATAATATTAGAAAGTTTTGTAATGCAATTTGGAATAAAATTAGAGTACAAGCAACGCAAACAAAATATACTTTAAAAATTCGTAGAAGACAGGAGTTTTTCACAATAAATACACTTTTGACTGTATTTATTATTTTCTGCAATTAGAGCCATAAACCTATAGGACATATAAATTGTAAGTGAGTTACTCTAATTCTGCTGAGTCTTCTACTCATCTTGATTTTTTTTTATAAAAATTCATGAAACACAAAAATGTATGTAAATAACAAATGTGTATATCATATTTATTGCTAATTGATTCTCAACATTTTGCACTATCAAGGAAAAATAATCAAGAATTAATGTTTTCAAAAAATTTAAATTTAAAAGTAAAATTCTTAAAATTTTTCTAAATCTCAATAATAAAATTCCATGAAAATCTCTGATTTTCAAGGGTAAAAAAGAAATCTGAAAACTTCCAGGTTTTTCTAAATAGTAAACATCCTATGCAAGCTAAAATTGTTTTTAATATTATCTGTAATGTCATTTGACATCAAAATATTGAGAAATAACATCAGCTTGTTTGCTGAGCTCTTCTAATCTATAACTGACAATGAGAGTATCTATAAATATCGTGTCTCCAGATTAATTTGGTAAAATATATATAAAGATACGAATGATTATACCTTCAGATTAGTAATGAGAAATAACTGCTCCTTAAAAAATTGTCCATAAACTGACTTGGCCCTGATAGCCTCTAAACCTTGCGCACCTTTCTTTATAAATGGATTGGTTACTCCCCAAAGAATCGCCACAAAACAGAGATATATCACAGAATCTACAATATAAACATATACATTGATATTATCATTTCAACTGTTTAATATCACTGAATCTCTGCTTTTATTTTTATCCTTTTATTCTCGTTTACTCAAAAGATTATTTTTCAACAAATAGAAAATAGTTATTAAAATTAAAACAGCTCACCAATAGTAACTGCCATTCTCAGTTATCTAATATAGAACGTTGCATGCATCGAACAATACACTGCAAATCACGTTATGAGAATTAATTAATACGTTGAATGCCGGTATCTACAACAGAGTAAAAAAAATTATCCATTTTATTAAATCCATATTTTATATATTTACAAGTAATTACATTAAATCACGTCATTCTACGAGTTTTAGATTGTTCTTTGATAGTGTCATCAGACACCGGTCAGCGCGACGTCATTAAAAGTTAAAATACCGATCACATTATAGATACTATGATATATTAATTAAACATATGACGGCCATAATGTAAGACTGACAAGGCACGAACTTGATCGAAACGCACAGACCATAGAAGCATTGTTAAGGAGCCTTTACATGGGAACGTCAAATGTCGAGCGTGTAAAGACACCTTTACAGATCATGAAAGTTAACGTCGTTTGTTTTCAAATTATTCACGGCGATACACTTTCGGCCGAATAAGGTTACGAAATACGCATTCGAGAACGGATCATTAGTATACAAATACTGAATCTATAGTTACGCAGTAGTTAAATATCGATAAATGGTTAAATATAAATTTTATATAGGTTCTAATTACCATATTTGATCGCGCTGCTACTCGTTTGAGAGCCGTTGGTTCCGCCGTGTCATCTCCTATCCGCCGCATTCCACGAATGAAACGTGAATGCAATCGAAATAGGGAAGCGTCGTTTTCCATACGCGGCCAACTTCACGCAGAAAAAGCGACGCGAGACTCGACGGTACGATGCGTCTTGAGTTTCAATCAAATGAGAAAAATACTTTCGACTAAATAATCATAAATGCTAGAATCTATATTACGCGATATTTAAAATGTTATCCGAAATAAATGCAAAGTTAATTACACTTCGTATTGTATTAAACTATCGCCTATAAGTTTTGCACGAGTAAAACATATTTATTAATAATATTTTTACAACGCATAAGACATTTTAAAACTCTTTAAGAGTTTATAACAACGTTAGGTTCTTAAAGTATTTCTCACGTCGCGTGTAAAAATTTTAATAATTTAATAATATTTATTAATTATTGATTACCTTGTTGGTAAATAATTCCAGTGGTCCTTCGAGCCATTTCTCGTTGTTTTTTTTTTATAGGAGTGATAAGGATTCTCTGCAAAGATTAGGATGCTCCTAGAAAGAAATAAGGGGTAATAAATTATAAATAATTGATTCGAAGCAAAGCAGCGAACAGTGCGAGCTATTCCAACGTTATTTGACAGGACGTAACTCTATCCTCGGCCGAATCGCAAAAACGCTTTGCTGCGAGTTACGCGCTATTTATACGCGCCGTCAGACTTCGAACCCCACCACTCGCATGCCAGCCAATGAGCGCGGTGTGTCGCTACGGACGCGAATTCGAACGCTCATTGGATCGCGCTAGCTTTCGCTTGGAGTATATAATTCAGCGCGACGCGCGAGAAGTCTCATTTTTTTTGGAACTTGGCGCCGTGCGTTTCGCGAAGATAGAAAAGCCTGTACGTATTCAGAACGCGCTTTTATATTAGCGCGTATTTAACACACAGTTCACATTATTGTAGAATTTCAAACATAAAAGCACGTTCTGAATATGGGTTAGAAATTATATTCTTTTTAAAAATTAAAAACTAATTAGAATAAATAGATAATAGCTATAAAAAAAATTGTATGAAAAAAAATCAAAATTTATCAAAATTTACGAATCGATAATTGTTATTTGTAACGAATTGAGAAAACTTACAAATTTCTATTTCAGTTAGAATTTTTATCGGCAGAGTCAGAAAATGGATGTAGCCACGTAGTTCCAAACCGAAAATAGATGTACTGGCTATAGTGTACAGGTGATATCGATGGTAGAAGTTTATATCTCGTAAAACAGTGAAGATATGTCACCTGATCAAGTCTATTGTAACATGTAAGACAGATCGGTGTAAATAAAGACATATCAAGTATTTAATCCGCATCAATTTGATACGCTTACTGACCGGTTTAACGGTGTAAAAAGGGTCATAGATAATAATATTTATATGTAAATTTACAAATACTTTTTGAGTTTTATATGCATATCGTTTTGATTTGTGAAACTTGAAACACAATTAAACTGAAATTGGAAATAACATCACATGCATTGAGTATAAATTTAATAATAAAGCTAATAAGCATCTTAAAATACTATAAAAAATCTTATATTTTCTTTTGTTTTCAGGTCGTAAAATTTGCAACAATTTATTGAAAATTTAAAGAATCCTTTCTTGTATTATTTAAATTTTGATAATATTACAATATAATAATAGAAACATGAGTTGTCAAAGAGGAAATGCTAATCGTTCGAGGCCTCAAAAATATCAAAATCAAAAATCGTTTAAAAATAATCTATATGACAAATCTCAAAAAATAAAACAAATTAATAGCACCGAAGTTACCAATGTATGCGAACGTTGCAAAAAAGTAATAGAATGGAAGATCAAATACAAAAAATATAAAGTGCTTAAAGCTCCAGTGAAATGTATTAAATGTGAACAAAAAACTGTGAAACATTCTTATCATAATATCTGCTTGCTTTGCGCCAAGCAACAAAGAGTATGTTCAAAATGTGGACAGAAGACAGAAGTCGTAGAAGGAACATGCAGTAAGGAAGAACAAATTAAATTAGATGCCGAATTTAAAGCAATTCTGAAAACATTGCCAGAACGAAAACGAAGAACATTGTTACGTTATATGAATCAACAATCTAGTAGGTATTTTGTGTTTATATTGTTAAATAGAATTTTATTTATATATTTATTATGCATATAATTGGCATGAATACGTTTTCATATAATAAAAAATCTTTATCCTACTTTATTTTTAGTAAAAAGTAAGGAAAATAACAACAAACCTAGTACTTCTGGTTTGAATACTGATACAGATGAAACTGACAGGAATGAAGATGAAACATGTCCGGAAAGAGATTTATTAATGAAAATAAAATCATTAGCTCTTATAGAAGATGACAACCTTGACAGTGATATTGATGAAGAAGAAATTGATAATTTTGGCAATGACGTTAACTTGCGTGGTAGAATGTTTTCTAAATAAAAAACTGTAAATTATAAAATATGATCTTTTTCAAATCAACAAAATAAAATAAATAATTCTATTCATAACAAATATAACATGACGAATTAGTTGTCGATTAAGTTAATCAGAATTTTTCAAAACTATTTTTACAATTCTTTGAAAAACATTGACTCGCAACAAATATTGATGCTTTTAAAAATTATTTTATTATTTATTGGCAAAAAGATAAAAAAAAATTCAATGAACCAACAACAGAGATACAGTCGGAAGTTATAAAATGTTACATTAATTCACTGATAAATGCTCGATAGTTTCTAGTTGTTCCATTTCGATCTTCTTATAAGAATCGTATTGTACTCTTAGCCGTTCCAGTTCCACAGACTTTTCCAAAATCAATGCCTACAATGAGAATAGGCGATAATCTATCATTGGCATATAGCGATATTAATATGATCCAATCTTAAGTTAATTTTGATTATAATTAATTCAATTAACTAGCAATTTAATTTAACCAGAATCACAATAAATTTTCCAACTATATACATAACTCTTTATTAATCTAATCTTTCCTTTCGTATGTCAAACAATAAAAAATTAATTATTCTATTGGTGTTAATAAATGCAGATATTATTCGGTAAATTAATCGCCGAATTAATTAATCAGAGTTTGATGAAATGTTTAAAATAGTCAAATTTAATCATAAATAATGATTATGGTCAAAAGAAGAACCGAATACCATGAATACTATGAATACCAGCCAAAGATAGCATAATTCTTGCAACCGTCTATCATTTAAACGATGAATACACGCTAGTAAATATTAGGTATGTCTGGTATGTAATTATTTAAGAACCTCCGTTTGCTGTTTCTGGGCTTCTCTTTGCTTCGCAACGGAACGCAGCAAATTCCGCGCGCCAATCGTCTTCATTTTTTCTTTCTCCACCTCTTTTGCTAAACTGTCCAATATCCTAATGAATTCGTCGGAATTCTTTTCAAATTCAGTAATCTCTGTAAAACGTAAAAATTCTTATTCGTTGCGACAATCGTCGTTCATATTTTTGAAGCGATATTAGTAATTTGTAATTAAATGCGATCAACAATAAAGCATCGGAGTGCAACTTTTTAAATGAAGCTCAAATTAAAGAGAATATTAGACTTTGGTATCAGATAAATCGTTTATTTTGTACCATAATTTTATTTAATTTCTCGTATAATTCCAAATACATTCGTCAAGTTATATTTCTTTTACAAATTAACATTTTGATCGATAATATAATATTAATTAATTGTAATCGATACTAATATTCATTTCTGTTAATTTAGATTAATTTTAATCTTGGCTTAAGTTACTTTTTGTATCTTTCCAGTTTTAAGTCCCAGTTCCATCAATGTGTAAAATTAACATTAAAGCTAAGTAGAATACGATGCTTGTTTTCTTATTTAATTCTTTATCTTATTCTAATTCTTAAAACTACAAAAAGATAAAAGATAAGTTAAACCGAGATTAAAGCTAATCTTCATTACTAGAAATAGATAAAAGTTAACGAAATTTCGAAGTCCCAACTATCCTTGTTCAATGGATAAAATGATATTCATAGGCACTCAGGTAGTATTCTCGAACACGTGAAAGAGTGTAGATGTGCTTTCCTGTGCAGGAACAGTAAAAACGGTGACATATAATTGTGCAAAGGGTGAGTATCATGACAATCGGTCAATCAAGTAAATTCATTGCGTCGTTTCGCTGTGACGTCATTCGCGAACGCAACACAACTTACTGGACACGAAGCTCTGACACTCATCCTTCAGCTTATTCGTTTGATTCGCCGTTTCCGGCTCTAGGACGCGTATTTTGCTCAAGTCATCGATGTAAACGCCGTATCTCGCCAACAAGTCGGCCATCTTCTCGAGTTTGCAAGAACGACATCACGTGATCGCGCGCCTCGTTCCAGGATTGCGTTCCAAAATTCAACTCTGTCAACTCGAGTATTATTTTATCCTTATCGGTCACCGAATGTTGAATAAAGATAAAAGATACTCAGAGTTTAACAGTCAAGGTTTTGGAACGCACCCCAGATGATTCCAGGAAGGCGCGGGCGATGCTGATTGGTCAGCGAAGGCCGCGTCGCTGCGATCGTCATGCCTTGATGTCTCGCGATATTCTCTCGATATTTTCGCGCATCAAGTCGATCCGTCTCTATGTTCAGCGTGTAGCGCTTGTTCGCCGTTGTGAAGTTCGCTGTAATTGATGATGAATAAGTCGAAAATGGAGCGAAATGAAGATGTATTAGTATCTCGTGCGGCTTTCTCGTTTTCTCAACGTCAACGAGTGTGAAACAAACGGCTCAACAGCGACACGAGTGCATCGGTCACGTCGCTTCGACGGAAACGCGGATCTATAGCGGATTCGCAGTATTCGCACACGTTCAACGTTCAACCTGACTGACATCGAGAGGATCGATACCGCTCGCCCCTCGTCCTCGCTCCATCCCGCGGCCATCAAGTTAGTACTCACCTCGGCTTCGCCAGGGTTCGGTTTCACCAGAGTTTTTCGTTATGTCGGGCGAGCACAAGACGGAAATTAAATATCCGTCGGAGTATGTCAAATTGAACATCGGAGGCTCGCTTCATTACACCACCATAGGTACCTTGCAGAAGCATGATACCATGCTGCGTGCAATGTTCAGCGGTCGCATGGAGGTGCTCACCGACTCTGAAGGTGAGATGCTTCTTACAACGTGCAACATGCAATTTCTGACGAGTGTTGACTCGAAATTAATGAACCTTGAATATCGATCGGTCCTGCGATCCTAATCAAAAGACTCGTCATTTTAATGTGGTGGAAGGCACACGAATTTACTTGATTTGAAAAGAAGGGATTGTATGGACTTCCTGCGTTATTTCCTAAGAATTTTGAACATTTCATCTTTTGTTATTTTTTATTATTTATACCTTCCACTGACCACGATCTCTCTCCGTAGGCTGGATATTAATTGATCGGTGTGGCAAACATTTCGGAACGATCTTGAACTTTTTGCGAGACGGCTCGGTTCCGCTGCCAGAAAATACGAAGGAGATGGCTGAGTTGCTCGCAGAGGCAAAATACTACTGTATCAGCGAGCTGGCGGAGTCCTGTGAACAGGCGCTTCTACGAAAAGAACGTGAAGCAGAGCCAATCTGCAGAGTCCCTCTCATAACCTCTCAAAAAGAAGAACAATTACTCATAAGCAATACTACTAAGCCTGTGGTCAAGCTGCTCATTAATAGGCATAACAATAAATATTCCTATACAAGGTAATGTTAAATGTTACTATATAGTTGTAAATATTGTGATATTCCTTTATCTTTTATAAATTGAAATCCAAGTGTTTTATAATGGCATTAAAATACAATATTATCTACAATGTACTCTTTGTTTCCTGTTTTACTTTTTATTTCTTTTTATCTTTTGTTTTCTACTCTATTTCTTTGTTTTCTGCCCAAGAGATATTTTCATAAATATTGTGATATATTGTGATATTTCAGATTCCTTTCTTATTTTTTATAAATTACAATCTAAGCGTTTTCATTAAAACTTAATGCTCTTTGTTCCTGATTTCTTGCTTTTTGTCATTTTGTATCTCTTGTCCTTTTGCTTCTTATCCTGTTTTCTCATTTTCTGTCATCAGAAGTAAAAGTTAACACACTTTCAAAGAGACAAAAAACACAATTGTTGATAAAAAATTAGTCACAAAGGGGAGGGGAGATAAAAAACAAGATACAGAAAACAAAGAACACATTATAGATTAATATTAATATACAAGTAATTTAAAGTGTAATAAGAGAGACTGATAAAAAGTATATTGTTTCACTTGGGCTACTTTCTTTTTAGCAAACACAGTCCACATAAGTATTCATCATTGAAGTATTCTTCATTGTTATTCATTAAATATTAGGATAAAATAACATTCGTCGGCTGTGTCTTCTAAAAAAAAGTTATACGTTGCATTCGGAGAGCATACTATTAACGTCATTCTATCTTTATCACTCATTTCATTATAAAATAAGAGTAGAATAGTACAAAAGCACTGATAATGCGCTCTTTGAACGCAGCTATATAATTTAAGTATATCGTAAACTAATATTTTAAAATAATGACTCACAACTTTTTGTATATTATATTTGTTTTATTTTGGACTTATCTGAAATTTCATTGTGAATCTATTATCAATTTTACTTTGGATTCATGATTCAAATATTCTGTCCAATACATTCTACTGTTAACTTTTTATTTCGTGACATTAGTCTCACAATGTTCTCTGATTTGATATTTGTTCCAATAACCTGGTTTTATTATAAGCAAAATATTTATTAATACTATATTGAAGGTGACCCAAATTAAAGATTGAAACATCTATATTATAACTTCTATTAATATATTTTTGCACACGATTAATCTATGTGCTCTTATTGGCTGATTTTTAATAGATAATATTTGAAATGCATGAAAAAAATGATAAATAAATGAAATGTCACAATATATGTATAATTACAACTGTATTATTGTCATAAATTAAGATTATTAAAGAATAAATGGACTAATAAATTTAATTTTTACAGTACATCAGATGACAATCTACTAAAAAACATAGAACTATTCGACAAAATGTCGCTTAGATTCAGTGGCAGAGTGTTATTCATCAAAGACGTTATCGGCTCAAGCGAAATCTGTTGTTGGACATTTTATGGGCATGGTCGTAAAGTAGCAGAAGTCTGCTGTCACTCGATTGTTTATACAACCGATAAAAAACATACAAAGGTAATGACATGATCAAATAATATGATTTTAAATTATGATTTTGAAATTATATGATCAAAAATGCTTTTCTTTTTTCAGGTTGAATTTCCCGAGGCTCGGATATACGAGGAAACGTTAAATATTTTATTGTATGAGCATCGGAATGGCCCGGATCAAGAATTAATGCAGGCTACATCATCACGTGGTGTGGTACCTTGCACGTCCGACGAAGAAGAGGGCGAGCGTTCAGGCTTGGCTCGCCTTCGTTCTAACAAACAGAAC